GTGACTTGTTGCTCCATTGACATAAACTCTCTCACTGTCCCCTTAATTTCCTATTTAATTTTTTCTATTTGCAGTATGACCTCTAGTGTTCTGGATTCATATTGCTTTAACACTCTTGATGAAGATATGGCTGCAGAAAGTTGTCTTTCCACCCCCCTTTAATTTGACAATGCAAGACTTTGACAAAGACAATGCAAGAATGATAAAACTGTAACAGTCCCCCTGGTGGGGCAAAGGGAGTGGTGGAAACTGTGCTAAACTGAATAGCACTTCCCCACTGATATATGACAGTCAATTCAGTTTCTGTCAGTGTCGCCCTATGAGAAGTGATCCCCTGTGAGAACTGATCCCACTGTTGCCACTTCTTCTGGCTTTTCAATAAGAGCTCAAACCATAAGGATTCACATTTTCTCTTTATATATTATTTTTCTAATGGTGAAAAAAATTTATATTTAGAACTAGCCCGCTAGACTCAGTTTAGATGATCCCAATTTTGTTGGCAACATCCAAAGCATCATAGTCAGGAACAAGTTGAACATAGGCCTTCTTCTCTCCATAAGGCCTAATCAAAGTGTTGACCTTGGCCACATCAGTGTCACAGAGTTTCTTTACAGCTTGTTTGGTTTGGTGCTTGTTGGCCTTGACATCCACAATGAACACAAGTGTGTTGTTATTGTCTATCTTTTTCACGGCTGACTCAGTGGTCAGGGGAAATTTGATGATGGCATAGTGGTCAAGCTTGTTTCTCCTGGGGGGTGCTCTTCCAGGGGTATGTGGGCTGCCTCCGGAGTCTCAGTGTCTTAGGCCGCCGGAAGGTGGGTGACATGCAGGTCTTCTTTTTTTGTAGCTGTGGATGCCCTTCAGGACTGCCTTCTTGGCCTTCAATGCCTTTGCTTTGGCTTCAGTTTTGGGAGCGGGAGGGGCTTCCTTCTTTGCTTTCGGTGCCATCTTCGTAGAAAGGCCTCTTTATATTTTTGAGGTGATATTTACCCAACCATAAAGTAACCATTTTAAAGCAAAGAATTCAATGGCATGCAGTGCATTCATAATGTTGTGCAAATACCACCTCGTTCTAGTTGCCAAATGTTTTTATTATCTCCAGATGAAGTCCCATGCCCTTTAAATGCTATTGTTAGGTACTATCAAGTCAGAACTGACTTATAGCTGACTCACCAGGGAGGGTCAGATGTTATAAATCACAAGAGAAGAGATGGCCCTGAATTTGAGCCGTCTGCTTTTGGGTTTGCAGCACAACCCCTTACCCACTAAGTTAAGCCACCAGAGCTCCCTTGTCCATTAAGTTGTTGTTTACTGGCAAATTAGAACCGACACATAGCTGACCCTCCAGTGGGTTTTTAGATACAGAAGACACACAGGAGGAGATTTCCCACCTTTCTCCCACAGAGAAGCAAGTAGATTTGAACCACATACCTTTGTGTTAGTAGTGCAGTTTCTTGCCACTAAGCTACCAGAGTTCCCCTTTTCCATTAAGTTGTCACTCCTGTTCTCCCTTTTCCCAGCCCCAGGCAACCACCAACCTGCTTTCTATCTGTATGGATTTTACCTTTTCTAGATATTTTGTACAATGGAATCATACCTTATGGGAGTAATTTTTTGTCTGGCTTCTTTCACTTTAACATATTTTCAAGTTTCACTCATGTTGTAGGATACATCAACACCTCCTTGATTTTTTCTATTTTTTATGGCTGAATAATACTCGTATGTGTGTGTATGTGTGTGTGTGTGTGTGTGTGTGTGTGTGTGTGTGTAACTATATATCACAGTTTGTTTATCCATTCATGCACTGCTGAACCTTTGAGTTTCTACCTTTTGACTTTGTTGAGTAATGTTATAAACATACACATATTTGTCTGGACGTGTGCTTTCTTTTGGGTATGTAACTAAGAGTTGCTAAAAAATACAGGAACTTTGTTTGATCATTCAAGGAACCACTGTTTTCCACAGCAGATGAATTCTTTTACATTCCTATCAGCTATGTAAGGAGCCCTAGTGGTAAGGTGATTAAACATTTGTCTGCTAAACAAAAGGTCAGTGTTTCAAACCCACCAGACATTGCTCAGGAGAAAGATGTGGCAGTCTGTTTCCATGACGATTTATGGCCTTGGAAGCCATCTTGGCAGTTCTAAGGTCCTGCAGAAACAGTGTCAATCGGAATAGGTGCAAAGGTTTCACCTGTCCATATCTTTA